CACACTGGGAGAATGAGATGTCTGCAATCCTCTCTTTTCTATCAGAATTATAATCATTCAACAGAGTATTCTGGAACAGTGTCCTCCCCCTGCACACCACATTCCCAGAGCTGAACACGCTGGGAGGCACAGGCATTGATAAAGTAGTAATTAACCTGCTAGCATTTCCACATTTTGTCAGTATCTTCCTTTTATTAAATGGAAGTCTATTAAATAGAATTCTAGCAAGTCCTAAAATGTAGTTTATTAGGCATTTTTATTAATAGATCATCTAGCATCCTACAAATTCAGATGCCAAAAAGAAATGATTTAGTACAGCAAAAAGAAACTATAGGTCACTCATGCACAAAACTTGGAAACTATAGATATTGTAACAGCTAAAGTTTGAAATTATGTATCCACAATTAGAAAACTACACTTAGAACCAAAAGCAGTCTGGCTTCAATAATTTTGAGCAACCATGTGTTCAAGCTGTGCCAGATGATCAATGGTAAGAACAGACTATTCAACCTGAATAGATAGGGTAAATTAAATTCATTGGCACAGGAGAGGGGAAATTTAGAAGGCGATGACATCCTTTTATCAATCATTAAGTTTGTTTTATACAATGAGCAGTTAGGTAACATTATGGGAAAGAAGCAAATAATAAGAATGCCCACTGAGAATAGAGCTTTGGGTTGAAGGGTGTGGCTAGATGCTGTAGAAGACAGGATAAGTGGCTGCCAACAAGGGCTGGAGTGAAGTCCTGGCTCTTCACTAGGACCAAGCATGCTCCTGACCTTGGTTTCCTTGTCTTTAAAATAGGGACATGTCCTCAATATATCCAGGACAGGACTCCCACCCACTCATCCCTTCTGCCACCACTACCCTTGACCACACTGCTATCATTTCTCACTTGGGTTACTCCATAGCCTCTTCAGTGGCCTCCCTGCTCTCAGACTTACTTCTAAGACTATGGTCAGCAGAGCTTCCTGAGTGACCGACTTATATGCAAGTCTTATCACATCTCTCCTGTACCAAGGGCTATCAGTGGAGCCCCCTCCACTTTTAGGAAAGGCCAGCATCTTTGCAGTGTCTCACCATTTAAATTAGAACTGAAATGAGGAATTCATGATGCAGCCCCCACTGAACTTCCATCTTTTCTGCTAAAACCACTCCCTGTCATTCAGTCCACTGTGCCATTCTGGGTGTCCTTGCTCTTCCCACACATCAAGCTCTCTGTGATCTCGGGAGTCCTTGTTCTAGGACATCCTTCCTTGATTTCACTATGGCTCCCTCCCCAGCCTCCTTTAAATGCTCTGTACATGTACCACTCTGATTATCAGTTTCATTTGGCAAATTACTCTCTGGCCACTCCACCACTGGCATTTTCTTTCTCCAGAAATCAGCCATTTTTCTCTTCTCATAGCATGTATTAATTTCTAGCATACTATATAATTCACCTATTTATTGAGTTAATTTATTGTCTGTCTCCATCTGCAAGAATATAAGCTCCATAAGAGCAGAGATTCTTTGCTTTGTTCATTGATGTTTCTTCAAGAATATAGAATAGTACTTAAATATAGCAGGCACTATTTTTTTTTAGTAAATTAATTATTTTGGGTCAATAAAAGCACAATATGTAGGATATAATACACATAATTTATAGGAAACAGTTGTTTTCATGTATGTTCTTAGACAACTGAAAATTATTAATTCAGAACTGTCCTGAATTTTCCAATCATGGCACTTAATTTGCATTTGCATAATGGGCAAAAATGTATTAAAATTCAGTACCCTTAAATTTGGCCAATACAAAAATGTAAATGTGCTTATTCCATACTGGGTTAGCTCAAAACTGGATTCAAAGTGGTAAAAAGGAAAACTTCAGTATCTTGAAGAAGAGTAGGCAGACATTTTGGTAGAGGGGAACATGGAAGGAATAGGAAGAAAAAATTAATGAAGACCATGATGACCTAGAAGCTTCCAGAGTGCCCTTATGGAAATCCACCTTGTTTTTTAAGGAAGCTCCTCATCTGTACTTACATCACCTTGTGTCCAAATCAATTCCTTTGCTTGGAAGAGTGTTCTGCACTCTGGTCCCCAGAGGAGGACTTAGGAGATCACTGTTCAGAATACTATTGCTGTATAACAAATCACTCCAAAACTCAATGATTTAAGACAATCATTTTATTGTATTCACAATTTGGTTGGCGAGGAATTTAGCAGAAGCTCACCTGGGTAGTCCATGTTCGGGGCATCTCAAGCCATTGCAGTCAGTTGTCAGCTGGATGTGCAACCACCTGAAAGCTCAGCTGGGCTATGTCTTCGATGGTACACTCACAAGTCTGGTTCTCAGCTGGGAATTCAACTCAGCTGTTGACCAGACTCCTGGTGGTCTCAGGTGCTGGCTTCCCACGAGAACCTGGTGTCAACTGCATGGCATCTTCTGATCTAACCTTAGACACTACAGTCACTTCTGCCATATTCTATTAGTGAATCACTGATGTTCCAGTGGGGTCACTGAGTTCACTATGGTTGGCCCAGATTCAAGAGGAGGGAACACAGATCCTACTACTTAGGAGGAAGGTCTGCAATTTGCAGAAGCATTTTAAAACCACCAACGGCACTCGTGTGAACATGAAGCAACAAAGCAGAGTTCTTAAAGTCTCGTGATGATCAGACCTCCTTCGAGTTTGATGTTTTGAGGAGGACCAGAAACACTTTATGGTGCCTATCCCCAACACTGTGTACTCATCATTTATAATCTACTGCCCTCAACCTTTGGAAAGTGTATCAACAGTTTGATACATGAGGTGAGATGCACAGGAGTGATGGTTGCAAACTGTTCCATTACCAGCTTGTTTCCTAAGAAAATTCACAGATTTCTATTTAATTTATGCACAGAGTACCCAAATGGTACAGACAGAAGCATCATTATTTGTTAGATACTTTGTGCCTGGCACTGGCTCATGATGTCATATGCACAAATTCCCTGTGTTACTAAAGTTGGGAGGGCAGAACAAGGAGTGTGATGTAGTGAGAGAGGAGCAATCCAGAGACCACAGTAGATGTTTGGGGGGATGATGAGGAGCCATTTCAGAACCTGAACTTCTGTGACTGGGACAGGAGTTGTGTGGGGTTTGTGGAATGGCATGATTCGAGGCACACCCAAACAGTCTTGTGGAGAGTGGGCTGATGGGGCAGTGGCAGGACCAGGGAGACTGGCTGGGGGGGCTAATGGAATCACTGAGAAGGTGTGGACTGGACTGCGGTAGCAGTAGCTGAATCACGTGAAGTGGCCGTGACGGGGATGTGCAGTGAAGGGGTGCTTGTGCTGAGGCGCGTGTCTACAAGCTTGCCTATGCTTTCAGCACACACTTGCAACTTGTGTTCATTTGGTAGACGGCCAGCTGACAGGACTCCTGCAGCAAAAGATATTAGATGCTCCATCTGACCATGAAATGAGATATGAAAGTACAAGAATAACTTACAAGCCCCCAAATCACCCGAGTAACAAACTGATTTTACACAAGTAGATGAGGAAACAAACACATTTCTCGTTGACCATATTTCTTCCTTTTCCCTTTCTCCCTCTTGGGTCAATGCCAGCAGATGTCCCAACTTATTAGAAGGTGCTCTCCAACTTCTCTAATTCCAATAACTTGAGGAAAAGTGCACAGCAGAACTTTCTACATGCTCAGCCTAAGGTGGCATTTTCAAAGAATGGGAAGAATATAGACACTTAGTTTTATGGACACTTAGTTTTGTTCTCCATCTGTTGAGTAATGAATGATACACACACACAAAAAAAAAAAAAATCAAAAAACTTAAGGATTAGAAAATCAAAGGGTCAAAGGCTTTAAGGATGCAGCAGATCTTTTTGCTGGGCACTGAGGATCCAAAGACTGGGCCCTCCTTTCTGGAGGACATGCACACAGCCTTACTTCAGTGGACTAAAGTAATGAAGATGCATTTCTTGCTTATGCTAATTCCACCACAGGTTCAGGGCAGCTGTGTTCTATGAGATGGCTCGGTATCACACTTCTGTCCACAAATGACCCATGACTTCCATGAAAGAACATTCATGGAGAGAGCCTCTTGCCCACACTAAAAAGCTTCATCCCAGCTACTACTGCACTTGCTAAGCAGATCACAAGGCCTAACCCAAACTCAAAAGAGATGGAGACACCTGATCCCGGCAAGAGCCCAGAGGGCGCACAGCCAATGTACTACAGCTATGTGGCAATTAAAAATAACAGCATATAGAACCATTTTTAAACATGGGTAAACCATCTACAATGTATCAAGTGGAAAAATAAGTATATTCCCATTAAAAATAGATCTGTGTGTGTTGTGAATGTATTTTTAAAATGTTCGAACAACATACAGCATAAGTTTAATAGTGTTTTCTCTGTGTGGTAAGATTAGAGCATTTTTAAAAACTGTTTCATATTATTTGTTACTTTACTTTTCTTATATTTTAGAGAACATTTTAATGCAGAGAAGAAACAAAGCTATATCTGTTCTTGAAAAACACAGTAACCTGACTGGCTAGGACAACTGCTCATTGCCTTAGCTAGGATTCATTCCTCCTGGGCCTGAGCTACCATGTCTTAACTGCAAAACTGAGCTGCTGAGAGGCAGAGCTCACATGGAGGTGCTGTGCAGAGAGCTATGTCCTGAGCCTTGATGACTCAAGCAGGCCTTCCCAAACTTCAGCAGAGATCCAGCCCACCTGCCTTACATGAAAGCTCATCATGACATGCAGGCACAGTAAGGTGGGGCATCTGCAAAGGCACATGCTTTCCAGTCAGACGGATGGACAGATGGAATCTTCTTGGTTTTCTCATCTTCAAATATAAATGGTGAGGGAAGATGATGCCTTGCATAAGGATTACCAGGATTCAATAACATAGTGCAGGTAAAGCACCCAGAAGAGAGGGTGCTAAATAAATCACTGATACTACCATTGCTCGATGTCAAGAGCAAACACAACAAAAGCTAAATTAAGCAGCGTAGTAACAAGCAAGGAATATTTTATTGTATGTATATTCTCAAAAAAAAAAAAAACCCACAAAAACAGAATCCATAATAGGAGCAGAGAACAAAGTTTTCTAGCCTCTCTGGGATATGCTGTGCACCATATCTTCTAGAAACGCTAGTACAAGAACAAAGAGTACTAATTAATATCACCCTCTGCTTCCCCAGTCAAAAAAAGGCTATACAGGAAAACACTTTAAATTGTACTCTAATATAAATTTGCTGCACAATTAAACTTCAACTTATTCAAAGTTATTGTAAACTACATAAAATAGAGGAGGCTTTCGATAATCTGCTCACAATTAACAATTAAGCAATAGACACTTGAATAAACGTAGCATGTATTACTTATTTGTTAAACCTCACATATCTAATGAGCAGATGTCATTAATAACTGGTTTCTTATTTTTCAGGAGAACACCAGATTCAGTAACAGAAGTAGAAAGAACTTTAATGAACATTGATTTTAGAAAATATCTCCTGGAGTCTGAGCTGCTATAGTTTGTATTACATATTTGGGTCAGTTTCAACAGCTTTAAAAAATATAGATACTAACAAACTGAATCCTTAAAAGGGAGAACAAAGTGGTATGTTCTAGAGTAATATTTTTTTGTTTATATCCTCTAGGTAGCAAGACAGAAGAAGGACGTAGTAAACAGAGATTTACAAGGTAGTGAATAATAACATGTTTCTACCTAATGCTACAGAGGTATTACTATCACTTAGACTTATTTAAAAACAGGGACGATTTCAAAATATGCTGATAACGAAGAATTGGCATTTCCTTATCACATACATTCTAGATCTAAACATAAGGATCTTGTCTAATTTTCTGTACTTCTTAGTCCCTATTTGTACAAATTAGCTTGAAGATTCAGGAATGGAAAAAACAGTAAACTGCTACACGAAGAACTATCTTAAGCGACCCGTTTAAGAGAAACACAGTCAAAATAAGGCAGTAACTATCAGCTATCTGTACCTTCCCTGTGCGCCTAATCAGTAACACTGAGAAAATAATCTTCTCCCACTCTATCAAAAATATTACTGCATTTGTAACCTCACAAGTGACAGAGACAAGATCAGTCTGGCAAACACATTTTTTTAAATGAAAAGAGATCACAGGCTCAGGCAAAGAGTAAACCATACCTAAACACTCTAGAATTTTCTAAGGTATCTCACACTGATTCCTCCTTAAATATAATTTTCCTCCTTGATTCATATTAATGCCTTAGAAGGCCTAAAATAACTCTGTGCTCTCTATGGAGCACAGGGTTGTTTATTAAGACTTTTTTAAAATAAAAAGTTGGAAAGCTATGGTGTATTCTCAGCAGCTGTGATATTCTCTTCTGTCTGCCACAGACATTAAAAGGTCATATTTTACAGAAGTTAAAGAAAAACACAGCCAAAGGGCAGCACTGCTCCACAGGGTAAGAGCTCCAACATGTTCTACTCTCCTTTCAGGACTTAATACCCAGAGAAAAGCACTTCTGTTTGGGGTGAACCACTGACTGACTGAAGTTAATACATGAAGTTGAACATTCAACCTTGTGGTTAAAAAGTTACCATTGTTCAATTTGTCTTCCACATTATGTTAGTAATATACATTTTGCAGAGTCTAGGAAGTGTTTTTCAAAGAAATACCTTTTTCAGGTGATGTAACAAAAAAATTATAAGGAGCAACAAGATCATTCTTATTTCTCAAGACAATTCAGCTTCCAATGCAGATCATTCCAGAACATGGTGTACTGCTGCCTTCACTTTCCAAAGTTATTTGTGTCACACAGCCATTAAAAAAACTTTGCTTCATTGCCTGTCTTAATTTTTTTGCACCCATAAACCATGTTTATAAAGCAGATTTAGTCCTTTAGTTATCAAACAGAATGATGACATTGTCTTGATATGATCCCATTGCAGTGATGCAGAAGTTTTTTTAATCCATATCCATTGGTAAGACTAACAGAGATATTGTTGCTATTTATTTTTACATTAGTCTTTTCAAAAAGTAAGTCTTTCTCCACTCACTTCCATAACCCAAAACCAAAGATACACGTGCTGTTAAGGCAACACACAGAGAACTATTTGACTATTAAAAGATGGGTTCCCATTCCCTGCCTCTTCCTCATTCTAGTATTCTTGGTCAAAAGCTTTAAAAATGCATTTTAAACAACAGCTTTTGGCAGTTGTGAAGATGATCTAAAAGTTAGGGATTACTTTTAGATCAGGACCTGATGGTCACCCATTACAGCTGTGGGCCACCAACTCCCTCCTATGACATGGATAATACCAGTTACAACTAAAAGTCAGCCTCACTTACAAGCCCTGGAGTGCTTTTCTGAGGAGCATATTAAATTCCCACAATCTCGCAGGGGCTCATCTTGGGACTACAGGTCTGAAGGAGAACTGGGCTCCATGAAGCAGACTGCTCTTTCCCATCACCACCATATGGCAGCTGGGTCTTCATTAGTCACTACTAGCTGAAATGAGAAAGTGTCGGGTGTTTGTGTGACTCTCATGTTATCAGCACCATAAAAAAGCTATGCCCTCAGCACATTTGAGGGAAAGGGAAAAATGTGGACTATCTTGGTTACTAGAGAAATTTCACAACTCAATAACAACTGCAAAAGTCACCCTTGGCTACTGGCTGGAAGAGAAACAACTGAAGCGAGCTAGATGCTAAGCACAGAGTACGGTGCTACCTGCAGAGAACAGACATCTGTAAGTTAATCAGCAACAGCAAACAGAGAATATTCATGTGTTGCCAGCCACAGGGAACGACCTCTGGTTTCCTAAGTTCCTGTTGCACACCTGGAGAAAGGGAATACAGGTTGTCCTGACCCCCAACACCTGCTCCAACAATAGGCTCAAGGGCCCTTGAAGGCCCGCTAGTCTGAGTGGACATGTATTTGTACTTGGGACTGCTTTCAGGAAGATTTAAGCATTAAATTTTTGTTCTATTTTTTTTTTCTCCCTCTAAAACTCTCATTTACTAGATTACTCTTTCCTTACCTATGAGGTCACTGTGCATGAGGAATTTTTGTTGAAGTAATTTCATTCCTCAGGGAACCACTACAGACAGACCTTTTCCACATTAGTTCCCACAGGCAAGTTCCACAAGTGCCCAAAAACACACCTTTACATTTTTTTCTTTTAAAAAATGTTGATTTGTTTTTAGGTGGCTACTGCCCATGCTTGTGACAGTGGCTGTGGAGCTACATGGGAAGGATTTCACTTGGTGGAGGCCACTGTTCGTAAGGTGTTGATATCACCCAGCTCCCGGATCAGTGTGGAGAAAACCCAGTTGCCAGGCTGCAGCCCACCACAGGCGTCATGTCCCATATCTACAAGGGAAATAAGACACATGGAGAAGGCAGCACTGACCATGAGGCTAGAATCAAGTCTACGCTGACAAACAAATTGCTGCTAACCTAGAAAAGTTGTCAAATAGTCAATTATCCCATTCTCCTCTCTCATTACAAAACCTCTTAAGATCTACAGAGAGATAAAACATGCAGTTTACTATGACCTGCAAGAATCTTATAGGCAGTATAAGAAAATAACATTACGGTAATGTTTTGCTATACATTTAAATTTTTTAAAAATCCCACTGGGAGTATAAAATATTTCACGGTTTCACAACTCAAGAGGGACACTAAGTATAAAACATTTGTGTTAGTGACCCAGAGATTTAATGAAGAAACATGTGGCTGTCCCTTACAATTAGGCTGCCCTCTGTCCACAGGTAAAGGAGCATGCGAAGGCCTGGAAGGCGTAGGCACAGGCACCAGCAAAGGTCCAGGCCCACTGGGAGGAAGAGACCTGGGGACAGCCCAGGACCCCAGGATCTAAGGGCAGCCAGGCCTGGCTAACTCACTTTGCCGTCCTCCCACAGCAAAGGGAAACCCCAGAGATTCCCTGCCACCAGGGAAGCAATTTATCACAAGCATGCAATTTGTCACTTGGGGTCTCAAGTGGGCAGTAGGTTGCTTATGAAAAGGGAAGGCACATTCACCAGTTGAAACAGCAACTGTCTGGAAATGTCTGAAGCTCATTCGCAGTGTGACGATGGAACAGCCCAAACTGAGAAGCTGAGACAACGCGCCAGCTTACCTTTACAACACGGTCGGTCCCACAGGTCACCATCAGTCCCCTAGCAATGTCCATGGACATGTGGGAGATGTTATGTTTGCCTTCATGAAAGGTTGCTAGAGAGGTCCGACTGACGAAGAGAAAAGAAGTCATTGAATCACTTTAACTCCTGGAGTGAAGGGATAAGGGGTCTTGTCAGCAGTATAAACATCATAAACATTTAAATAATACTGCTAAATTAGATTAAATTTAGATTAGATTATAAAATTAGATTCTAAAAATGTGACTAATTTAAATGGAGACTAATTTAACATTAAAGGATGACAGAGAGTAAAATAAATTATAAGACTGTTTTATCAAAGGTTTTATAAGACACTCAAAATAGCTGATTACTTTCAATTGGAAAGGCTGATGCATAAAAATGCAAGCCTTCAACTTAGAATAGGAACTGCTAAGATTATATGGCACAGGCAAGGCATCCATCAGAAAGCGGTGGGATTCTCTGAAACCCATTTGCCTTCCATAGGTGCAGTGCTTGCTTTCAGTGAAGGCACCCACTGTGATCTACAGCCCAGCAGCCCTCACTCCCACCGCTAGCTCATTTTACAACACTAGCCACGACACATTGGCTTTCCAATTTGAGCCTCTGCCCAGGTTTGCCCATCTACTGCTTTAACAGTGATTGAAAGGGGGAAAAAAGGCAATCGTGGTTTTGTCCTGGCAGAATCAGGTATGTAGACAGATGTACACTTACAACAAATAGTTACTTAAGAATAGAATGCTGGGACTTCACAGAAGAAGAAATTCGAATGGTCAACACATATAAGAAAAAAAGTTCAACATCTCTAGCAATTAGAGAAATGGAAATTAAAACTACACTGAGATTCTATCTTACTTCAGTCAGAATAGCAATTATCAAGAATACAAGTAACAATAAATGTTGGCGAGGATGTGGGGGAAGAAGGCACACTCAAACACTGCTGGTAGGACTGCTGGTACAACCACTCTAGAAAGCAGTAAGGAGATTCCTCAGAAAACCTGGAATAGAACCACCATTTGACCCAGTTATCCCATTCCTCAATTTATACCCAAAGGACTTAAAATCAGCACACTATAGTGACACAGCCACATCAATGTTTGCAGTAGCTCAATTCACAATAAGTAAACTATGGAACCAATCAAGGTGCCCTTCAACAGATGAATGGATAAAGAAAATGTGATACAGACAAACAATGGATTACTCAGCCATAATAAAGAATAAAGTTATGGCATTTGATGGTAAATCAATCTGTAGACTATCATGCTAAGTGGAAATAAGCCAATTCCCCCAAAACAAGGGTCAAATGTTCTCTCTGATATGCAGATATTAACACACAATAAGGGGGAGAGAATAGAAATTCATTGGATTAGACAAAGGGGAATAAAGGGAAGGGAGAGGGGATAGGAACAGGAAAGACAATAGAATGAATCAGACATATATAAATACATGACCAGTGTAATTTCACATCATGTACAACCAAAAGAATGGGAAATTATACTCCATGTGTGTATAATATGTCAAAATACATTGTATTGTCATGTATATCTAAAAAGAATAAATTTAAAAAATAAATTTTAAAAAATAATAGAATATAAATATTCAGTTATTTATAGAAGAAAGTGTACTGGTCTGTAGAGTTTTCCTAGTAATTAAGTTTGTACACATGTGTACACAAAGGTCAGGGCGCTGAATGTTTTTGTAGACAGCCAGCTCAACTGCTGCCATCCACATGCTCTTGGACTTGTCCCTGCACACTAACCTACACGATGCTGAGACTCAGGATTGTCCAGTTGGCTATTGGGCTGGTCCAAGCATTCCTCATGAGAAATCTGTACCACTAATGAGGCAGCTTGAGATAAACAGTGGTAGTCATAAGTCGTACTAGGCCAGAGTTTCCTCTTTAAGAAATGGTTTATGAAATTCAGAAGAGACAAACACATGGCAGAAAAGCCTGTTCATATTTCAGGTATCCATTAGACAGATGCAGTAAGACAAAACATGTGAGCACTCACTCTTCATCTTTGATGGAATCATAACAGGAATCACAAACGCGGACTTGGAACTCGAAACCCATGACCGGGTAGCTGGAGCGCTTGCTGCTGCACTTCCCACAGACGGCCTGCCCACACTTCCTGCAGTGATGCTTTCAGGGTCACCAGAGGAGGAGAACAGCAGTTAGCTTTGGCTATAATGCACACGGGAAGCTATGCTTTGAATTATAATCACCCAATTCAATATATCAATCAATAACTTCAACATCAGTCAAGGGTTTCCAGATAACCTTGCTCCATGGCTCATAAACTGTTTTCTATTTCTTCATATTATGTGTCTACATGTTATTATTAAAACTGAGTTCAAGTTCATTTAGGAGCCCAATCACTGCAGAGTCTGGGAAGGATAATCTATTCCTCCATCAAAGAAAAATTTTAAGGTTAAAATGTATTATGTCCTCATTAGGACACTAATATAAAAAAATCTTTGTTTGTTTGTTTGTTTGTTTGTACTAGGATGGAACCCAGAGATGCTTAACCACTGAGCTACACCCCGGCACCTTTAATTTTTTATTTTGAGACAGGGTCTCACTAAGTTGCTTAGGGTATTGCTATGTTGCTGAGGCAGGCCTTGAACTTGCAATCCTCTTGTCTCACTCTCCCAAATTGCTGGGATTATAGGAGTGTGCCATCATGCCAGTGAAAAAAAAATCATAATCTCTCAAATTGTGATTCAGGAAATAAGCTTAGAGAACATTCCAAAACAGTCCCAATTATTATTGCTGATTTTGTCACATTCTTTTTTTTTATTATTTGTTTTAATTAGTTACACATGACAGTACAATGACCTTGACATATCATACATTTGAAGCAGATGGGAGTCACATTCTTTTACCATTAAAATTTCATGACCAGCATCTTTTCTGTTCTATTAGTTGTTAATAAGTAAAATTCATTCCTTCATGTTTCCTTTAGAAGTGAGGAATACTTCTCCCAACAATTACAATGCACTATCTACTGCTAGACATGCATTGCAAGAACTCTACTAATGACAGAATTCAGGGGCTATTCCAGAGCATTAGAATGTTAATGAGCACTAAAATAACTCCTGCATTGGCTGCCGATCTCAGATTAGATCTTATGGTAGGGTAGCTTTGTGAGTGAACTCAAAGGAAGTTTATTAACACATACAAACTTTAGGCTGATCCCTCACAGAGATGCAACCAGAACAAAAGGAATAAAATCATCATTCTCTTTTACGTACCTGCAAAAATACATATTCACTCTGAGTGAGGGGCTACCTTCAAGGCTGCTGTAGAAATATATTTTGTTGTAGAACTTTATTATTATATGAATAGAAAGTGTTATTTGTACCTTGGAAATCTATAAGCTGTTTGGGGCATGTTTCTTTGATATAAAAAATAAAAATCAGTCCTCAAACCATATTTAACAAAAATGTTCCAGGTATGTTTGCACTGGAACAATTTAGGAATAAGCTAAATTTCATAGGTCAGAGTATGCCAGTGAGGATTAAATTGCTACTTCTTACCTGACTGTAGCAGCATAAAGCATATAAGTGTGTGCTCTAATTTGTTCTATTTATATGTGGCTGGATGAAATACTGACTTCACTAACACTCATAAACTGAAGGAGTATCAATTAAAAAAAAACCTCACTGTTTCTACATAGGACAACACCGAATAGTTGCGAATCAAGTCTCACTGGCCCCAGGAAAAGTGGTGCTCATCATGAGTCATATGATAGTGACATAAAAAATGTAGGAATTCACAGAATTTCCAACAAAGTGTGATTTCCCTCAAAGATCAACAGATTCATCAAACATGGAAATAACACCCACCCCGTGATGTGTCAGTGTTGCCCACTCACCTGTCTCAACCCCAGCGTCTTCGTGTCCCACATCTGCTTTATGTTCCAGAAAAAGGGCTGCTCACATTTTTGACAGGAATCACTTTCCAACCACTGAGGAGCCTGGGGAGCAGAAAGTCACAGTCAATGTCAACACATCTGTACGTTTGCATTGCTGTTTCAGAAATTAATGCAGGAGTAACAGAATTTGCTGGCGCCAGTATTTCTTTTTCAGTTCCACAATATGTTGAAGCTGGTTGCCACAGTCAATACTGTGCTTACATTCTGAGTCACCACCATGATTTCAGCAATGTTACAGGACTGCATTTCCCCCTCAGCTTCTCATTATGCCACTTTTGGCCTGTTTTGATCTTCACATTCTAAAAACCTGTTTCTTGGTTCACAACAGATTTAAGCCTGTCCTAAAAAGAACCAAAGTAGGTAGAATTGGAGGCAAGAATACAGTTCCAGGAAAAACTGTTAGTCCTATAGGAAGGGGAAAGAAACTTAAAACAACAGACATGAATTTTATTACCATACAACACACCTGTGGTCAGAAAGGTAAAACTGCATCATCAAGAAATGAGGAAAATATATCAAATTTATACATTTTCATCAAAAACAGTATTTCCATAATGGGTTGGCATTTAAAGAATCATGTTTCAATGACCCAGAACACTCCTTTAACATTAAAGGTCCCTCTCTCCAGCAGTGTCAGTTAAGCAACACATTCATGGATTTTCTAACATCTTACCAAGTTTCTAAGTGACTCAATTTCAAGCAAGGGCATTTTAAAAATATATAAATAAGACACCTTTTAAATTCTCAATTCCTTTATAATAGTCCTAGCAGGTGGTTATAATAGCTCAGACTCAGGCTCAGATTTTTTGCACTAAAATCCTGACTCTGTCATTTCCTAGCTCTGTCCTCAGGGGTATTATGTATCTTCTTTGTGCCTCAGTTTCCTCATCAGTAACATCGGAAAACAGTAGTATGTACCTCACAAGGCTGTGAGGGTTAAATGAGCTCATATTTGTGAAGTGTTCTGAATAGTGCCTGGTATGCAGTAAATGCCACCCAAGTCCAGGCAGCTGGCAAGTTTTTTATATGTTTTATGTCACTGAATTTTCATCACATGCTTAGGAAATACAGAGCAACATTATTCCCATTTTATAGACAAAGAAACTGGCTCTGAGACTGAAGCAGCTGTCCATGGCCTAGGAGACCCAGGATTCCTGCCTGGGTCATTCTGCTTGTCCACCAAGCTCTTTGCTCTACCACATGGGGTCTCCAAACATGGTTCTGGGATATGTCAAACAATAGAACTGAGGTCTTGTTTCAGGGAGCATAATTCCTTCATACTCAAAATTCGCTGTTAAACTATAAGCTATTGTGAGCAATTCTGCTGTTTATTATCCAAGGAGAAACAAGCTTTGTTTTGTGTGAAGAAGAGCAAAAGAGAATATTAATCAAGCATTATGACTGCTTCACTCTCTTTCCCACATCTTGTTCCATCTGCCTAATCTAAATCCATTTTACTACTACCACTAACTTCTGCATTCGTCAATACTGCATTTAATGTATGAAACATTATACTAGTTGATCTACAAGTTTGAAAATGTTCTCTTTTCAAGGGGATTCATTGCCTATAAATACTATTTCTTGTTCACTGAGAGTTTGTACATGCTTCCAAAAAGGAACCCCTCTAATTATAACCTAGCAAGTAGGCAAATTTGCTTCAGGCCTGATGGTGCAGGGGTGGCTGGCAGCTATGATGAACTGGAAATGCTCCAGGCAGTTGTCACAGGTGACTTGGAAAGAAATTCCAGGCAAGCATGGTAGAGCTGGAGAATGTGGGCTCAAGCCTCTCTGAGTGCTTAGCTAAGGAAATTCTATAAAATTATTTGAAATCCTAACCAGGGTAACCTCAGAAATCACAGGCTATTTACCTTTCTACTACATTTATTTGGCCAGGGAGAAAGATTGCTAAAAATAATGCATCTTTTTGACAGTTTGCTTTCCCACCTCTTCCATAGATGACTAGAAGGAAGTAAACTGCCCACACAGGAAGCACCTTGACTGGTGGAATTATTTTTCAGTTCCGGAGATGTGCAAACACAGTCAGTCCACAATTATGTAAGCTTGAATAAAGGGTCTGCTTCTATTTTCTAAATGTTTTTTTTTTTTTTTCTAAAAGTACTTCCTGAGGATCAGAACAGTGGAAGAAATCCAATGGTGAGCCCTTAGAGAGCCACTAGTAGCACTAGTTCCATGGTCTTCTCTTAATACCTGTCTCTGAGCTTTCTGTTCTCTAAGAATAAGATTAAGAAATGATGGGGAGAATCACAGCCTTTGGGACAGCAGTCCCCTGTGTTTCTCCTTTGCCAACAAAGCAATAAACCTTCTTTTTCCTTTTTCTCAAAAAGCGTGTCCTCACTATTGGATTGGCATCTTACAAGGTTACTAAGAAACCAAAGAATAACGATGTCTCTGGATGGAGTGTATTCTATTATTTATAGGGGAGGCTATTTCTTTCATTAGATTGCAAACCTCTTGTGGGGAAGAATCTTTGTGTACAGAACTTAGTAGCCATAAAGTGTAGAAATGAGTCATGCTACTTTAAAAAAATAAAAAAACAGATTGAACCCCCTTGATTATTTCTTCTGGGACATGCTAAAAATGGTTTATTCAGTGAGAACTAGACTCACAAATACCTGCAGCAACACAGAGCAGGCACAGGTGCAGGGGTTGGTAAGAATTCTGCACTAGCGTGTGGTGTCCTCTTTGAGTGTGCACCGCACACTGCACTCTAAACTGATCAAGGGCAACCATGGAGTATGGATCTTCACCTAAGCTCCCAGACAGTATGGCTACCCTGTAGGAGCTTGATAAATGCTTCTGAAGTTAAACTATAATCATTAGCCTCACTTAGATCTTAGACTCTAAGATCTTCTCTGGAATCAGCTCTTTGGCAATTGTCATCATAGGCTCTAATGCCACAGAAAAAAGACAGATAGTCCCAGTGCTGGCAGAGAGGAGAATGGAAATCCTGCCTGGAAACCATCTGATGAAATCTATAAAAAGCCTTTAGAGCGTACCTACTCTTGCAACGGAAGGTCTATTTTCGGAAACTTGCTTGAAATAAATTATTGAATAATCACATAATGACAAGGTCAAGCATATTCACCGCAGGCATAACTCAAAAAAAAAAAAAAAAAGACAGATTGTGTAGATCTTTAGAGTATCTATTTAAGGAAACGGAAGAAGACTTAGAAATCAACTCATTCAATGATTTCATTTTTTGGGAACAGGAATAGACACTCAAAGAAGAGAAATTAAGGTCTCAACTAGTTAGTGGCTCAACCAAGTTAAAAATCATGTTGCCCGAAAAGAACATTATGTCAATATGGAGTGGAGCTCAATGGAAAATAAGAGAAATAAGCAGAGAAACAGAAACATTTTCCCAGAAAGACAACAAGTACATAGCTATGTCACTGATGATGGTCTCTGACACACCTCAGGGCTTCTGTACAGGAATGCTTCAAAGCCCTAGGGTACTTTGGAGGGTCCCCATGTAGCCCACATTGCTGGATGTGCTAAAAGGCTGGCTGTCTCGAATCCTCCCAGTGGATTTATTTCTCAAGGCTAACATTAGCCTAAATGCTATGTGACTGTACACACTACTCGTCATTAGTGGAAACCTCCACATGGAGAGAAGATACAGTGCAAAATGACAAGCAGGACCCTCAAACAAAAATCCATGGGTGGAACAGGGGGCAGCCAGCATTTACACTGCAGGGAGAAAACCGAGAAGCAGGGTCCTCAGGGATCTCCGTCAGCATTGCTTCCCCTTTGCCTGTTATTACCTCTTCTCTGCTAACGTCCATGTTCCACACTGCAATCCCACCATCCGAGGAACAGGAGACGAGCTGCCTGGTTAGTTGCAGGTAACACAGCGACTGCACCCTGTCACTGCAAATACACATGACAGATCACATGTCTCAACATGGAAAACACAGAAACGTCTTCATTTAAGCTCAAATTTCTCCCCTAAGTTAGGAAGCAGCATTTTGTCGCTACTGGTATATCATGGGTTGCACCATAAATTTCACTTGGCATTCTAGTACTGATTACATGGAATCACCGTTTTCTACAGAATAAACTCTACTGCTTTTAAATCTGTTGTTTACAACTGAAAGTCAGAGATGGGATAAAGACCATGATTTTCTGCACCAATTGTCATGACTTCTCCTTCTGGTACACAAAACTTAACAAAGAACAGAGGTGTATCTGTCCTATTGAAATACAGTTCATGTGAATAAGAAATCACTAGTAGCATGCACACTCACACACACACACACACACACAGAAAGGCACATGCATGCACAGATGAGTAGAAAAAATCTGGTCCCTTCTAGCAGTCCTATCAAACCACTTCTCTGGATGCCCAGGCAATCAATCTCCTGTTCTGTTAACTTTTGTACCCAATCTTTCCTTGGCTAAATTGCAACTTGATTATGACTACAGTAAACAACTATCACCTGACCAGCAATGAGAAACAAAAGGAAAAGTGGGTAAGAGGGGTGCTCCTTTTCCTTTCAAGACTAAACTGTAGGACAGCATTACAATGTCAGAGCTCAGGTGAGTCTGACTATATCAGCAAGCATTGATTCTTAATGAAATATATTTTAGAAATTAAGGAAAAAAAAAACAGGCACCCACTTCAAGAATAGCTTAGTACTACATCTCAAGAGATGGTCAAGTCCTCATTTCCAGTCTCTAACCCATGCCTGCCCTAGGCAGACATTTCAACAGGGCCACTCCTTGGGAGAGAAAAGTGGCAAGTGCTCTTTAACTAAGAAGGAAGTAAATCCTATACTCTTTTTACATTTTACTGTTTAATACCCAATGTTCCGATTGACACGCAGTTAAAAGTAGACTCAGCCCTATGAACTTGCTGTTTGGAGAATGTCTGGATATAATGATAATGCTCCCCCAGTTCCCCATACACTCAGCCCCTTTCCCCACCCCCACAACCAGTCACGCACTGATGGCCCTGCAGCAAGAGTGTCCGGCCTTTCCTGCCTCCAATGTCCCACATGATGATGCTATTGTCAGATGCTCCTGAGAACAGTAACCGCTGAATAGGATCCCACCAGAGGCAAGCAACACTCCCTAGGGATTTAAGAGAGAGAGGAGGGGTTAAACATAACTCTACATCAGGATGTGCACATTTGACAGCTAGAGATGAAAGCCTCTAAGCAAAAATCTATCTTCATCATACAAAGGGTCATTCAATCACGTTCTCATGAGTCACAGCAAGGACACAGCAGATCCATTATTCAAAGTTGTAAGATTAGCATTTTCAATTATGCATCACACAGCTATACACCTTTTTTTTTTTTTTTTGGCAGTACTGGGGATGGAACCCGAGGCCTTGCACTTGCTAAGCAAGTGACCAACCACTAAGCCACATCCCAGTCCAAAAATTTTTCAAGAAGTTTTTCTTTGTTCTATACCAATAAATTATAAAGTATCTATACATGACATGTTAGTATAAAAGAAGCTTTGGGAGAAAAACAAATCTAATATTTATGAAAAAGACTAGTAGGGCTTACAGTGGCCATTTTCTAGAAGATAAAAATGTAGGTTATTTCAGCTCTCTGGGACCTCAGAGGCATTTTACCCTAAGATGCTTATGTTTTAAAAAAATTAAACTAAGCGCCTTAGGGGGAAAGTCTCCAGGTGTGCCAAACTATGATGTCAAGGAAATCAGGTAAAACATCTAAATCTTATACTTCACATCCTGAATTGACCACCTGATCAAATTTGATAGCACTACAAATTTCTCTTTCAAGGAATCTCTTCATTTTTGATTTGTTGCTGCTTGCCTTAAAAAAATTAATCAACAGTAAAACTGAAACAATTACACAAACTGATAATAAATTTTATAGGTGTACAGAAAACTAATGAAGCCATATTTATAAACAAACAGAAACTAGTTTCTCCCCTAAACTTTTCCAAAACAAAAGTAAAGGAAAAAAGGGAACTCTGCAAAACTATCTTCGGGTCAGTTGTAACAGAATTCTGACACTCTCTACTCCTATGCCTCATATATTGGCTAGAGGCCTAAGAGGAGATACACAGTATGAAAACTGTAAGTTGTTACAGAATACATTCTGCCTCTTAGAAGCCTGAAGGTCACAACAGGATTAATCATAAATGGAATATGGTTTCTTCAGGGACCTATGCTTTTCTGCCCAGATCTTTTAAAACCTGCTGTTCTCTTTGCTTCCTTTTCCCCCACGAAGTCCTGGATCTGATAGAGTCTATCTTTCCTACATGAGTTAGCTAGAAAGCAAAGGATATGATTAGCTTGTTACACTTAAAACACTGTTGTTATAAATAAACCATCATGGGCTGGGGATGTGGCTCAAGTGGTAGCCTGCTCGCCTGGCATCCGTGCGGCCCGGGTTCGATCCTCAGCACCACATACAAAAACAAAGATGTGTCCGCCAAAAACTAAAAAATAAATATTAAAAAAAATTCTCTCTCCCTCTCTAACAATAAATAAATAAATAAATAAATAAATAAATAAATAAAGCATCATTAATTATTTCATCAAATCTCCAATTCTTCAATTTAACCTCAAAGAAGGCCTCAAAGTTCGTAACTCTCAGACTCATATCACTCCTTGCATTATAGCTTAGCATTCAATGAAAACAATTTATTATACACATGTACATGGCAATTTACCCAATGCAGTCAAACAGTTTTAAAACCCTCCACAGAACCTTGTCAACTTACTGTTCTATAGAAATAAGGAAAATTTACCCAGGAATTCATCTCTCCCAGTCCCTACCCAAGGTATGTGGCCAAGCCAGCCCAAACATTTCTTCTAATTGTATTAATCTAACAGTTCTTGCTGAATGTCTTAGAAACTAAGAAATTAAATAATAATAATAAATAATAATAACAATTCTTCCATATAAATAGTTCTTAGTATTTATTATAAAATTTGAAGATCTAATGAAAACAAGTTAATTTAAAAAGATAAACAATGCAAAGTATTATCCATTCAAGCAATTCAAAGGGTTCTTTGGAAATAAGAAACTGATCCTGACACCCTACCTTCCCTTAGTTTTCGGCCTAAATCCCACTGAATTGAAATCTGACAGATCATGAGGAATTGAACATTCATGAATCACAAAACTGAGAACTGAATTCCAATGCCCATATTAGGTGAAAGACCTTTGGGGGCCATGCAGCCTACCTTCATGCCCTTTGAGGGTTGTGATAACTGAACACGTGTTCTGTTCAAGCTTCAGCAGGGTGATCTGTCCAGAGTAATCGCCAACAAAAGCGTACTGAGTATCAAAATCATATCTGAAGAGATGCAGTCAAGGACATGTAACAGAACCTCTCTCAAAATCCTCCCATAAAAGAGACATCAGCTTTAGTCAGAATTTTAAAACAATTTTGCATTTTAAAGAGATTAAGTACAAACCTCAAACTATAACAAGAAAGGAAATACTCAAGCAAAAATCACACAATATCTAAATACTGAAAGAAAAATTTAAAACAGCTAGAATTAAGAGGAGAGTTAATATTCAAGCACCCAACAAGAATTTATTGAGTTCCTGTTAATCTATCAAGTAATATCCTAGGAACTGGCAACAAAAAAGATAAAACACCCCCACTAGAGCAGAATGGCTCTTATGCAATATTTCTGAAAGTAACGTCAAACTGAGTAAACACCGGACAAGAGCTTATCTTTCTTTTGGCTTAGATGATTTAGCTTTAAATGAAGAGGATGATTTCCTTTAAACTACTGTGAACTTTATGATAATAGTAAATTTCAATTTAAAATGTATTCACTATTGGAAACAACTCATTACTTTCTCAGTTTGTGGCCACAGATGATTTGTGGATATACACAATAAAATATATGCTATTTACAATAGGATAACTACTACTACTCCAAAATAACAGGTCAAAAGGAGCACCACAAACCAAGCCATGATTGTGATTGTATGCCATTAAGAGAGGCCTTGAACATGACAGAAATTCTAAGTTAGGACATAATATATCTGAATAATTTTACCTTGTTTGATCCTAAAGTGGATGGTAGTATTTTAAATGCTTATTTTAAATATCCCATGCTGTGCATTCATTTGTAGCAAAAATTTTTAATAAAATCTTTCAATGGAAAGAGAGAACTTTATTATGCCACTTAACTCTGAAAGAGAAACTACCAAGGGTATTTGCCTACTGTTGATAGTCTTGATCTTGCCAGTATTTGGATACCAGCAACCAGAAGTGGCCTTAAGAAGGGCAAGTTCTACAGGAAACAAATTCCACAGACTGGAATTTTTTTTTTTTTTTTTGGTACTGGGGAGTGAACACAGGGGCACTCAACCACTGAGCTATATCCCCAGTCCTTTTCTGAATTTTTATTTAGAGACAGGGTCTCACAGAGTTGCTTAAGGCCTCACTAAATTGCTGAGGCTGGCTTTGAACTCACAATCCTCCTGCCTCTGCCTCCAGAGCTGCTGGTATTACAGACATGCGCCACCGCACCACGCCCACACTGGGGAATTTTTAAGACAGTAATTGTTAATATTTTGGTCATTCTGAGAGTGTCATAAAGATTTGGGTCCTCTCCAGACACACACACAAAAAGTATTAGATACAAGTTTTGTATAAAACTCCTTGTAACCTGTTTTTGAACCTCAGGGATATGTACACATCCCTATTATCTACTATACTTCCTTGTAAAGCCTGCAAATAACTAATTTCTACAAGATTAATTTTTTTTTCTTCTTCATAGAATAAAAAGTCTTTCAATTTGTATTGCAAAGGAATGAAGGGAGGAGCTTGTATAAATGAGGGCTTAGGGGTTCCATAATTTTGTACTAAAAACATTAGCACTTCCCAGTAGAGAACAGAAAATTCATTTAACTATTATATTAATAAATCCATTTTATATCAAAGAAAAGCAGATACAGAAATTCTTGGGTTTTAGGTGAAATGTGTAAGAATCATTCAGTCTTTGGATCTCAATTGACAATGATGATCAGATTCAAAACTAAATCCTGAGACAAAGTCCTGGGAGGGAGAGATCCAGCGCTGTGGAGGATACTGTAAACACGAAGCCCAGGAAGTGAAGAAGTGTCGCCCCAGCATGTTCCCACTCCGGGTGCACATCCAGCTGACACACTTGTCGTGGCCAGTGCTGATCACCCACTCTGCGGCCAAGCTGAAGATGATGGCAGACACCCGGTTCTGATGAGCTGCAGGAACACAAAGGGAGTCTGTATCCTTCAGGAAGATGGGACCTTCAGAAGCAGCTCCCCATGGGGTAAGAACTGAGGCTTTCCTTCTCTCCCTGGTGGGCCTGCATGCTCCTGTGTGTGTGTAAACAGCCACTGGGGAGTGCCTACCCCCTGAGCAGACTTCAGACAAGCCGCTCCACTGCAGTGTACCAGCACTGCTCCTTCCAAGGCCCCGTCCTCTGCAGCCCCATATGAAAGGATATCAAAAGCCAGGAATTACTAAAGACAAGAGAGATTTGAATAATAGAGTTTTTCTTTTTCTTTCTTTCTTTTTGTTTTTTTGCTATGATCAAAAGAACATTTTTACTTTGTTCTAAAAAGTCTTAAATATCAGTGAGTTCCATATGGAAAACAGCGGTCTTAACACAGCAATGTTTTTTGTTTATTTGCTTGTTTTTATTGTTCATTACTTCAATGTTTTGACCCTTTAGAAAACACTGGCATTGTAAATAAGAGTAGCTACAATTTTCTGAAATTAAATGTGTTGGAACACCTGTAATCCTAGCAGCTCAGGAGGCTCAGGTAGGAGGGCAAGTTCAAAGCTAGCCTCAGCAAGTTAGTGAGACTCTAAGCAACTCTGTGAAACCCTGTCTCAAAATAGAAAATAAAAAAAAGGACTGGGGATGTAGCTCAGTGGTTAAGCACCCTCTCCCCCCCCCCCCCCCCAGTTCAATTCCTGGAACCAAAAAAATAAATAAATAAATAACATTTTATTTCTGTAATAATTTCTTTGTGTATAACTTTTTTATGATTTATAAATACCAAGTATTTGTAAAGATCTTTATTCTAAAATAATAGTTGAGGATGAGAAAAATATTCTATTATGTAACTTTTAAAATATTTTCAGTTCAATTATAAGGCACACTAGGGCAGTGACCTGAGTTCTACTTCATGAGGTATAGGAGCTGCATGAGCAGGTGTTTTATAAACGTCCAGTCTGATGAAAGAAGTCAGAGGCTAGCCAGAGGAGCCACTTTACTCTCAGCTGTACAGACTGCTCTCGAAGAACTGAGGGACTTTCTCCAAAAGTCTGTGAGAAGGTCAGGTCCAAGGAGATTATGCTGAGGCATTAAATACTCATGAGGGCCCCTGAAACTTACAGGAGTACTCCCATAGTAATAATCTTAAATTCAACTAAACCAAGCCCCAGCTAATGAATGACTCAGTAACTGATGTGGGGCTTGTGTTTTTAATTTTTATTTTCTGTTTTAATGAAATCCCCAATTTCCCTAAACCTAATATTTTATGTCCATTTTCAGATCGAAACACTGAGAAGCAAACATGAAGCTCATTAAACACATGCCCAGTCTTATAAGTAATAGATTAACTTGCTTATTTGACCCAAAACACATTTTCCATTTAACCTACAGTTGTCTAACTCAGGAAAACAGTGGCAAGGTTTATATTTGCTTATTGTAAAGGTATTGGAGTGAATAATCATTTATCTTTTCTAAGAAAGAACTGTCCTATTTCTGAATTATATACTTTCTGCTATTTTATTTTTTAGATGCCCTTTCTTTTATGAATGATAAAATTACATGGAAATGCTTACTATGCCTCATTTTAAAACTCCCTCACTTAACCAAAAAAAAAAAAAAAAAAAAAAAAAAATCTCTGGTTAGTCCTTCCTGTATTTTTTAAAATGTTATTAGTCAATGAAATGTGAAGGTCCTCAAACCAGTACAAAACTATGCAGCTTTATAACTCATATAAAGAACTTTGACAAACAACATAGATAAAATGAGATCAGTAAATAAATAATTGGATAAAGAACTTAATGGCAAATTAAATAATTTAAAAAGGAATTTGCTTTAGAGCAACAACATTGATCAGGTACAAAATAAGTGGCCTCCAAACATCTAGGCATATATTTCATATAAAGAATTATTGATTCTTGATTTTTCTAAAAATAAATCTACCAGTGACAGCTAAAAATTCAAAGTTGTTTCTGTCACTGTAACAAAACTACAATGCTGTGCATTATTCAATATCACAAGACTGTCCTTCATTGTCACAAAAGGCTCAACGCTGAAATGCCAAGTTCAAGAGTGCGGTCATTATTGCCTCAATTTTCTGCTATCTTAAACTTGGAACAGATGGACCAATACTCAAGAAAAGGCAATTTGGCCTTCTTAGTTAAGTTCAAAAATTTCCTTCCTGTACCCTGCTATTAAACCAAAATTCACCAAGATAGAACATACACCTAAAACATCCAGACTCCAATATCACCTTGATCCATTAATATGAAATATAAAATCTGGGTTGTTATGCCTTCAGGCAAAGTCTCCAGGAACCTTTACTTGGACTGATAGTGTTATGGTTTAGATACGAGTTGTTCGAGTTGTTCCCCAAAAGCTTGTGTATGAGACAATGCAAGATAGTTAAGAGGTGCAATGATTGATATATGAGAGTTTTAACCTAATAAGGGCATTAATCTGCTAATGGGGATTAACTAGGTGGTTAACTGTAGGCAGGTAGGGTGTGGCTGGAGGAGTGGGGGGCAGTAGAGCATGCCGTTGGGGTATATATTTTGTCTTTGGTGAGAGGAGAAGTTTCTCTCTGTTTTCCTGGTTCCGTGTCCTGGGTTGCTTTCCTCTACCATACTCTTCGGTCATGATGTTATGTCACACTTTAGCCCCAGAGCAATGGAGTCAGCTATCTATGAACTGAGACTTCTGAAACTGTGAGCCCCAAATAAAGTTTTCCTCTTTTAAAACTGTTCTTGACTGGTCTTGTTTTGGTCACAGCAACAAAAGAGCTGAATAAAACAGATAGGAATCCACAACTTCATCAAATTGTTTTGGCTTTGCAAATTCCATCCAAAGTTGAGAACGCTGAGAACTTGCTTTTGATAAATGTAATAATGTCTAAATGTACAAGACTGAGAAAAACTGAGGAAAATGTATGTGCCACATATTTTTTTTAAAGTAAAGGTGCTTATAATTCAATTAGAATAGTACAACTCCCTGGAAATATGAGCAAAATCATGATAAGACATTCCTGAAAGATGACATAGTCAAAACAAAATAAAGCTTAAATAATTTTCAAATTGAGAAATTTTGACTATCAAATGCAAAAAATGCTGGACACACTTAATGAGCAGTCTCAGTCACTATTTATAAGATTGTAAAAATTGACACAATTGCCGGGAAGCAGCTTGCAAAACAGACCTAAACCATTACAAGACTTTTTAATGTTTGATCCTGTTATTCCACTTAAATAGATGTAGTCTGATCAGAATCTCTCTCTCTCTCTCTCTCTCTCTCTCTCTCTCACACACACACACACACACAGTATATAGTATGTGTTATCAAAACATGAAAACAGTGCACATGTCCCTTTAGAGAAGATGGTTAAATTAAATCTCATACACACACCCAATACATAAAATTTTACATATTAATAAGCAGAGAAGAATGGTAAATAACTGTGTCTCTCACATAATTGGAGTAAAAAAACTGCAAAGTTCACGTGAAAACCTAACTTTGATCATAAGAGGTGACTGCCAGTTTTGTGTGTGTATATCATAATTACCTGGGTAGGTCTTGATAAAGTTCATTTTATTAAAATCTTCAGAAACATGAAATTCCTAAAAGTAAACATATGGAATAAGAAAACAGTTATGTTTTTAAAACAATAGGAACTTAACTTTTAAAACAAAGTAAAGTCTACTACCAGTTGTCATAAGACCTGAGACTTAAGATGAGCAATTTAGGGATGATAGGAACTGTTCCTTGGCCCACTGCCTCTCCAGGGCCTGATGGAAATGAATAAATCAAGGGCTGCCGACAGACCTCGCACTTGTATCCACTTGCTCCTCCACAGATGAGTGCCATACATAACTTCTCCCTCTAACTGCAAAATTTTGTTAATTCGCTCTCTTGGCTATACCAAAAAAACAAAACAAAACAAAACAAAACAAAACAAAACAATCCTTTAGGACAATGCATAGGGAGCAAAACTACAAAACTCAGAGTTCATAACTACAGGAAGAATAAGGAAGGCACTTTTTTAGGGGATTCCAGCAGTTTAATGTACAAACATATCCCCTCAAAAGTAAAAGTTACAGATTGTGGATGATCTTTTTTTTATACTCCTGCATTCTCCAGATTTCCTATGAACTATATAACTTGGAAAAACTAAAAAATACATAACTTTTTAAATGAAAAAATAAGCCTCAACATAAAATTGAGATAAAACAAAACTCTAAAGAGAATCACTAATTAAGAAATCTATTGATCGATGCTAAATTGTAAGTTTTTAAAGGTTTAGGTAACATGGACATTATGCATTGTTGACTGAACAGGGCATGATAAAAACCACCCAAGTCATAAAGACTTCCTGGTCTCCACCTTACTTTTGCAAAGTACAAAGATGGATCAGCATTGCAGGTATTAATTGATATTGGATGGAAAACCAACAGATCAATTGCTAACTAAAACTAAGCTGGGTTTAAATCATCCTTTCCACTGAAGAGGTGCTGTCCTGTAAATGCAGAGTCGACTCTCCAACCAAAAGCCACCAGAAGAGTTTCTGGAGAAAGAAATGCGTGGCCACTGCCACCTCTGGAAAAACCATGTGAAAGCTTGCACTTGACAGCCTCTTGTGTTACGTGTGTATGCGCGTCACCATGATATGCCTATAAAATGTCCAGCAGATCTCTGCATCCACTACCACATCACGTGCTTATGGGAGCCCCTGCCACCTGCCTGCTGCAGTGTGAAATTCTTTGGAGGGAGCCCGACCTTCCTCCTGCCTCTTTCTTCTTTGCCCTTAAGTGCAATCAACGCTTCTTTTATACTTTAAAAAACAAAATGAACACAACCAACAATGAAACTCCTTTAACTATACCATACTTGTCCCAACTTTCTCAGCCAAATGCTTCTCTAAAGACCATCCTGCATTAACTACTCTCAGGCTTTCCCTCCTGGTCACTCCTCACTCCACTCTTCTCCAACATGGAAACACCTCTCCCTGCTATCGCCAGCTGCCTTCTAGTTGATGTCCTGATCTCAGCCTTTCTCTGCTGCCCTTGCTACTAACCTAAAATGACTGCCTATCCCTTCCACCTGGCTTCCATGGCCAGATTGTTCTGGGCCCTTTGTCCACTTTGCCTGTTGCTGCCCCAGTCTTTCTTAAGGGCTTTTTAGTCCTCTGACTTTCCCTTAAAGCACTTCGGGATGAGACCCTCTGTTCTTCTTCATGCTCTGCTATCCCTAGTTTATGTCAGTTACTTGTGGCACACTGGGCCAACAGACATCAAAACCCAGAGCATCATCATGCCCCTGCTTAATGGCTCCCTGCTCCCCGAGGTGCTGTATTTCCCCAGTGCGTTCAGTCCTCGGACTCACCTAGGGCATTTGCTAAAACACAGATGCCCAGCCCCTCGTAATTGATTCTGAAGCTGTGGACCTAACATAGAGCCAGGGAACAGGTATTTTTAAAGTTTCCTAAATGATTTGTGATGACTATGCAAGTTTGAAACGCTTGGACTGTAAAATGTAGTCTAAGCTCCTTAATACCATATTCAAGGACCACCATTTCTCCTCATCCCTGGACTCCAGGTTTGTACATCCAGTGCCAACTTTGCACTGCCATTTGGAAGAGACAACATAGGTATCTCAAACACATGGGTGACTCCTCACTCTTCCTTTTGTCTCCAACTATCCCAACCCTTCAAGCCATTCCCTTCACAGTAAATGATGCCACTGCTCAAATTAAAATTCTGATGTCACCTGACTTCTTCCTCTTCCTCCCCCGAAACCCAACTTATTACAGATGCATTTAGGATGTATCTCAAACCCATCTGCTCTGTCTGCCTTCACCACCACCATTCTCTCTCTCAGACTGCTGCATCAGACTGACTCCCTCTTCTATTTTGTTGACCTTCAATCTACTCTTGCCCAATAATTACAGGGACCTTTTAAAAATGTAATTAAATCTTATCATTCATCTGCTGAAAATCCTCTAATGGCTTCTCACTGAATTTACAATGAAATTTAAAACTATCCAGATATATAAAGCTCTGCATGAGCTGGCCTCTGCCTACTTCTTCAATGGCGTCTGGGGTGCCTCCCTGTACCAGCACCACCCAGCCATGGTAAACTACACAAATCGTCAGGTACACAGAGATCCTTTCTACCTCAAGTCTTCACAAACCATTACTTCTGGAAACTCTTCCCTGGTTCTCCACAGGCTTGCTGTGTGACAAGGATGTCAAGACAATTCAATGGGAAAAGAACAGTCTTTTCAACAAATGGCTTTGGAATAATTGGATGATCACAAGCAAAAGAACGGATATGGAACCCTTCTGTTAAGGTTTAGATATAAAGGGTTCTCCAAAAGCTCATGTGTGAAACAATGCCAAGAGGGTTTAGAGGAGAAATGATTGGGTTATAGAGCCTTAACCTCATCAGTGCATTAATCTGCTTATGTGGATTCACTGGGTGATAACTGTAGGCAGGCAGGGTATGCCTATAGGAGGCGGGTCACTGGTGGTGTGCCTTTAGGGTATACATTTTGTCCCTGGTGAGCAGAGATTAGTCTCTCTGCTTCCTGGTGCCATGTCCTGAGCTACTTTCCTCCTCTACACCCTCTATCAGGATGTTCTGCCTCATCTCGGCCCCAGAGCAGTGAAGTCGATCATCTATGGACATCTGAAACTGTGAAACACAAATAAACTTTTATTTCTCTAAAACTGTTCTTGTCAGGTCTTTTGGTCACAGTGGTTAAAAAAAAAAAAAGTTGCCTAAAACACTTTCCTTACATCATATGTTAAAAAGTTAACTCACAATAAAGATCTAAATGTAGAAATTACACTATGAAACTTTTAGGAGAAAACATAAGACTATAACATTATTCCTATGAAAATATAATGTAAATAACCTTGTATCAGGAAATGATTTCTTAGGTATTGTATCTAAAACACACGACCAATAAAGGAGAAAATAGAAAAATTGGACTTCATCAAACTTAAAAATTGAATATGGTATTAAGGAGCTTAGACTACATTTTACAGTATGGGCAAAAACATTTGCAAATCATGTATCTAATAAGAATCTAGTATCTAGCACATGGGAAGAATTCTTACAATTCAATAATAAATTTTTTTAAATGGGAAAAGGGCTTAAATAGATACTGCTCCAAAAAAGATACACAATGACCAACAGACATGTGAGAAGATGCTCAACATCACTAGTCAGTAGGGAAATACAAATCAAAACCACAAAGACATGCCAATCTGCACCCAATACAATGACCATAATATAAACAAAATAAAGCAAAACAAAACAGAAACAGAAAATAATAAGTATTCACAATGATGTAAAGAAACTGGAACCCTCGTGTTTTGCTGGGGGGATGTAAAATGGTGCAGTCACTTTGGAGGAAACTTTGGTGGCTTCTTGAATGTTAAATATAGTTCCCAGCAATTCCATTCTCATATCTACCCAAAAGAGCTGAAAAAATGTGTTCATATAGAAATTTATATACGATGTTTACAGCAGCATTATTCATATTAGCCAAAAAGTAGAAAATAACCCAAATTTCCAGTAACTAGTGAATAGATAAGCAAAACTATCTATGTAATAGAATACTGTTCCAGCACACAAAAAGGAATGAGGTAACGAATTCAAGCTCCAACATGGATTAACTTTGAAAATACCAAGTGAAGAAGACAGACATAAAAGGTCACACATACTGTACAATTCTATTTACACAAAATATCTAGAACAGACAAATCCCTGTACTCAGAAAGTACAGGAGCTGAAGGAAAGGGAAATGATTGCTAATGAATATGGGGTTTCTTTGGGGGATATAAATAATCTATAATCAGAGTATAATGAGTGCATAGTCTTTCATGAATATACTATAAAAGCACTGAACTATGCATTTTAAAGTGGTGCAATTATGGTATATGACTTATCTTTAAATTATAGAAAAAATAAACACACACAATTGGACCCATAAAAAACACCAGTCTATAGTAGACTGAAAATTTACATATCTGGTCCTTCTTCAGGGGTAGCTTGGAAATCACTGCCTTACAGAGTTGAGTTGCTGGAGGAATAGCTGGTAGTTAGACTTGTTCCCCATCCGTTCTCTCACAGACACATGGAGACCCGTAGGCTATCCACCATCATGGCCAAAAGATGGGAGATGCTACAGATCTCATGTTCACTGTATGAATACAATGCATGTTTATGGGCATCCTGAGCACCAAACCATCAATTATGATAGCCATCTGAGCTTTGTAAACATCAATTAAAATTAATGTTTTTAGACTTCACATCCATGGAAACTGATGGAAATATTTTTGTACCAAATAATCAGACATTCACTGTTGACTTTACTTAAACTATCCCACATAAGTAAACACAGAAAATCAATATAAAGAATGTAATGAATACTTCCTGGAAGTTACGTACCATTACAGCTCCATTATCCTGGCCCACGAATATCCGTCTACTATCATGATGGTAAGCCATAGCAGAGCAAGGGGCTGCCAGAAAGACAAACACCACATTATCAACAAAGCTAAGCCTTTTGAGTCATTGCTCAAAATATTATTAAGAAGAGCTATATGATTTAGGTTTTTTAAAAAAGAGCAAAATGTTTTATGAAAAATAATCATATATGTTGAAAACATAAAGTTCTCTTTGTTGCTTCAGTTTAAAACTCTAATTCTATAAATCTTCTCAATTATTCTCACAATATTGGGCAAAGTGAGCCAGCACAAAGTTTCATCTGATGGAAACTCCTACTAATAGCCTGGGAAAAGTCTGGCAACCAGTGCTTACAGTGCGTGATCTGATACATAAACGCTTTGTCCCACTACCCTTCCCAAATAAGGGTAAAAAGTTGCTGGAATCTGCAGAAAAAGGGGTTGCCAGCCCTAGAATTCTCATCCCAGAGCCTATGTGAGCATGCTAGGAAAGCCATTCCAGGATTATTATTTTCTCAATGGTCAAAATGTTCCCTTTTGCAATGACACACATGACCTGGTTTGCAGGAACTGTAGTTGTGAGGTATAGATAGGTTCTTTGACCCCAGCAGTTACGCACCCAGGATAGCATCTGCCTATTTTCCTGTATACCTCCTTCCCAGTGGCTATCTCTCTCTCTCCCAGAAATCATGGGCAAGAGAATGAGTTTCAGAAAGGAAAAGCTTCAAATAGTCTTCTGCTAAAAATCAGAAGTGAAGTGATTTAGAAAATGGGAAATTTGGAAAAAGAAATGTTTGGGTTCATTTCTTTTCATTTCTTTGTTCAAAACAAAGAGAACTTTATGTTTTCAACTTATATGATTATTTTTCATAAAACATTTTGCTCTTTTTAAAAACCTAAATCATATAGCTCTTCTTAATCATTCTAGCCTAAAGAATTATAATCACAATGGAAGAACTAAAACAAAAAAAACTGCATGCCAGGAACAAGACAAAATAAATGAACTTGACTTTATTTTGCAACAAGACTTGCCATAAAAAAAGTAAAAGAAAAAAAATCATCCAAATGAAGCCAACCATCTGAAATAGTTTAAGTTCTCTTGCTGCAATGACTGACAATCTACACCAAAGAAAGAAAGTAATCTATAATACTGGAATGTACCTAAAAGAAAAGACATAGCCATTGACATGATCAGATCACAGAAAAAGGCTGTTTTAGTTGCATTCAAGAACTATGTAGTTGAATGGTAGGTACTGAAAAGGTACACAGAAAACATGACTGACTTGAAGCCCTCACACCCTAATCCACCATAATGATGCTGAAGATAACAAAGAACAGTCATGTTTAAGAAGTATAACCATGAAGATACATGTGAATTCATATGATCAAAATGTTCTTCAATTACCATTTGCAAAAATCACTATGGCAAATCAAATCATGCTTTAATGATTTCAAAAATTCATTATCATCATTTTTACTTGCTCTTCTGTTGGTACTAAGTCTGGATGCATTAGTTTTAAGCTTCTTTTCAATAATTTTGATGCTCACTCCCACAACAAACTACATAAATATTGAAAAACGTTTCTTTTGTGTAAAACTTTAATGTGCTGAGTAATTTTATGAGATTAGAGAATTTTTGCTTAAAAAAGAAAATAAAAAGCTTCCCAGTTTATTTTGCATATAATGATATCCTGGCTTTTTTCCTAGAAAGGAGTTTTCTACTGAGATAAGCAATAAATACTTTAAAAAGAAAAGAAAGGTTGGATATTCCTGTAGTTTTGGAAACAAGAAAAACACAGGTCATCTTTCAAATCAGTGGACTTTAAAGAAGATATCACTATAGTTCAAAATCAGATGCTTAAAACTCAGACATGAGCACCAGGTGCAGCCTGCTCTGTTTTGTTAATTAGGTCTTTGGTGTTTGGGGAATAGAGCCAGGCTTTTTCATTTATGTACTGGTTATGACTGCTTTCATGCTACAATGGCAGAGCTGAGTAGCTGTCACAGACTGCTGCACAGAATCTAAATATTTACTGTCTGGCTCTTTGCATAAAAAATGTGTGGACCTACTCCATAATTGTGGTGGGCAGTATAGTCTGGGAGTAGTAAACTCACATGGATTGGAATTCCAACCACAAGCCATTGGTTTAATCTCTCTGTCCTGTTTCCTCATCTAGAAAATGTGAAAAATAACATCTATCTTGCATAGCTGTGTGATGATTTCATAAAATTACATTACTAGAAAAAAAAGGCATGAGGCACATAGTAATACTGAAACTGGGAGTTACCATTTTTCCTTCAGCTATACCAGGTTCTGAAAGTGATTTGTGTTCAGTGAATGACATTATGGAACATAGTTGTACTACTGCAATGATGTACGAAGGCCTGGCTTACTGCGGGCTCCATCAGGGCACAGGCAAAAGTTTAAACTGGTGTACAACCACTAAAACATACTAAACTGGACAGTCAGCAGATAGTTCTTAGAACCAAAAAACAGCAATGTTCTTGTATGATAAATTTAATTTTGAAATAAATCATTCTACAATGACAAGCAGTTATTTCTCATAATTCATCCACTATGTTTTCTTCTGGTCTTGTTCTGGCAGTTTGGCCATCTCTCCTTCCTGAGCTGGAAACTACTTTGAGAAGGAATAATCTCACCAAGTTAGGGAGGGACGGGACCAGAATGAGTCACAGCCATGTGCCCAAGATCTAACAGACAAGAGAGAGGAGAGAGCACACCCTTCTACTGCTGGGGTTTTCTAGGAGAAAATAGCTGAGGAATTAAAAACTAAACACAGAATACAATCCCTGTCAATCTCTGTCTCTATTCTAATGAGCAGGAACTTCAAGGGTGAAGACTCAAGGAGATTAAGCTTTGACCAAATATGAACTATGGAGGGATGGGAGGAGTACAGCAGCAGCTCTAACAAGACTTTCCAAGTGACAACAAGATAAGCCCCGCACTGGAATGAGTTCTTCCAGCTGCTGCTCTCTCCAGCTATCGGGTCTATGGCTGGGCCACTGGGAAGTAAGGAGTTACCAGCTCTGTTGTTGTTGTTGGGAACCTGGGGACCTGAATATCACACCCATCTCTCCTGTTTACTTTATCAAACAGGCTCCATATGCACCTGCATTAGAACATCAGCCACTCTGCATTTCAAGGTAAGAAATCAGAGTGAGAAGCAAAGGTTAAGCACTCCAGAGGACGAGTGGACGTGGTGACAGGAGGAAGGGTGGCCTGGCGCAGTAAATTCTGGTCAGTTTTCAAGTAGTCTATTTTATTATGAGGTTTTATCATTCCTTTAATGGCAGTTACCTTCATAAAGTATTCTAAAAAGTCTATTTCACTTTCACTTAACGATTAGGGAAGTTATCAAGCCACCCAAACTATTGGTAGAAGGTAGAACAAATGAAAATTTTGATCAATTATTAACTTTTTGTGAAAATTAACACAGGATCCAAACACTGCATACTCAATTGAATACATGTACAAATGAGAATGTGCTAACTCGGGAGGTGCTTAGATGATTAAAACTAAATATAGGTAATGTGCTGAATAACTGGCTGCTGTGTGTTCCAACAAACTCCACTTCATCAGTAGCAAGCCATCGAGCTCACACCAAATCCTTTTTTTCTTTTCCTGGGAAGTCGGCTGAATATAGAAACCCTTCACAGAGGAAAAGCCTTCACTAAAAACCAAAGCCTCAAGGAAACCTGCAGCTACAGATGTCTTCTGAACAGCGGGTTTCAACCCACATTTGGCCTTGGGTGACATCCAGGCATTCTCTACAGGGCTTTGTTTTCAAGAAAGTCTAAAGAAAAGAAGTGGGAGAAAAGGATGTTGCTTAGATTTGCTGTGACTTTGTGTCACAACTCTGTCTTTACAATCATTCAATGGAAATGAAACAGACATTCTGGAAGACAGTATAAAGATTAACTATTATCAAAGGATGATGAAACCTTACAATACCTAACACAGGAAGACTACTTGAAACCTGACCGTAATTCATCACGCCAGGCCACAGTACCTCCTCTCGGGCCTACGGGGCCTCTGAGTACATCACCTCGGCATCTCACTCTGAATTTCAGGCGGTTTTAAAGTGTCCATAAAAAGTTTTATCTTCTAGATATATTTTTAGAACATACCTTACTACTGAAAATTCTCTGTTTAGAAAGTGAGGCATCTAGCACTTCTCTCTGTGGTATCCAGAGGTGGTCAAAGGTCAGACACAGGCTGTCATAATCATGGGAGCGTGCAGACTGCTCTTTGGTGTCAGCATCAGGTACTACTGAGGATAAGCTTAACGAATGAAGGTTGGCTGAATTAAGACAAAGGAAATCGGGAAACGGGCCTTTCCCTCCACCTTTTTTTCAGTTTTGCTCACGTCTACTTTATTAGGCCAGTGGACCTTTACAAAATACAAGTTTTCCTGTAGCTCATTACAGCCTGTCAGAGGTCTTTGGCAACTAAGAAACTCATTCTGAAATCTAGTAGCCATTTTTAGTCAGACATTTTGAAAGTTAAAACATCAAGGACATTAGAGGCAATGTCCTAAAGAGGAACTGGTCTGTGACTTACAGGCCATTGTGTGGTAAATGCTGGGCCAGTACTGGCCGCTGTCTCTTTTCAGCCATACTCGGATGGTTCTGTGGAGAAAGAAAAGAGTGGTCTTTAGAAATACTGTCCTCTTTTGTATTCCATGAAAACTTATTTTTTTAAATAATGTTCAATACCATCTCCTAACTGACCTTACAAAGCTAATCAAGTAGACAACCTGGACAAATATACATATATTAACATACACATCTACAGTAGATAGTATGTTACATATAGTACATATACTATATATACACAGTTACATATATGTGACCATGTATGTTGAGTTAACAAGAGCCTAGGAGTCAGGATTTCAAGTGACTTTAATAATGTGGAAATGTTCTTCACATAATGATATACAAAGAAAGCTGAGAACTACTAATTGTTTTTCTTGGTAAAACCAATTGTGTGAACATAGTAACTGACTGAGTAGCAGTCACCAAGAAAAGCAGCGGATCTGAAGGGGACGAAAATGTATGTGGAGAGGTGGGAGTTGGACAGGCCGTGAAGGGCCACGCTGATTCACCAACGGTTCTCCACCTACCCATCACCCCCGCCGGGAGGAAATCATCCCACACCACACCTCTTTCATCAGAACATGCACAGACCTGAGGAAATCCTGCTTGAGTGCAGGAAGATGACAGTGACCAACACAGGCAAAGCTTAACATCTGAGTCTCCTGCAAAAGGAGAGAACACAGGGACAGTCCCGCTGCTCTGAGCTCCAGAACTTCTAAGCTCAGGCACTGGCTTGTCACCTTTTTGGGGGATGCTCTAATTCTGCTGGTACTTGCCAGCTCTGCCTTTGCAACCACTCACATCCATGGTCAACTCTGCCACAGTCACATTTATACGTATAATAGCAACAGAGACTCGCTCACAGTAGGTGCTGAATAAATGCTTCTAACTTTAAACTGAAATATATCAACACCAAGTACTGATACACACACACACACACACACACACACACACGTATATACGTGTGTGTGTGTGTGTGTATGTATTCCCTTCCCTTTTCTTTCCCTTTTTTTTATGTTCAAGACAAGTAAAATTGGTTTTAGGGATGAAAACATCAGAACAGTGGTGGTTGCTTCTGGGGAGGAGGCAGATGGCAAAGATGTGAGGAAACTTTCGAGAGGAACAGCCAGGCTCCAGAGATGGGGACCATGGGTGTACACATGTGCTGGAACTTGCTCCACTATGCTTAAGATGTACGTAGACTACTGTATATGATTTAAAAGGAAACTGAAACTAGATGGTGACTTTCGTTTATCCAAATAAGTAAGGTGGCGTGGCAGGGCAGTGAGCTAATGCTATTTTGCATATGAACTGGATAAAAGCCTCAAGGCAACTGTGAGCTCATCAAGGCTTTAGCTCCAGCTACCAGTTCATAAGACATGAAGAGGACAGAGGAACATGTTGAACACCACAACAGGGCTGCGTTCAGCAACGCAAGACTGCACAAAAATCTATAGACAAATGTCACTGTTCTGTTCTAAACAAATAACAATAGTTCCTCAATATCACCTTGGCCTGACTCCACGGCAGCTTACTCTCATCTTCCCTCCTGGGCTCTGTCCCTGCTCTGCTCTAGTCCACTGCTATTATATCAAATGCCAGCTGCATATCCCCAGCAGCCACGCATGTCACACTGCTCCTGTGTTCAGCATCTACCAGTGTTTTTTGCAAATCCAGGGTTCAACTGACAATCTTAGTTCCTGTGACTTCAATTCAGGCCCTGTGTTCCAGTGAGCAGTCATCCCTGAGCTCTTCCGAAATGTCCACTCAGGCTAAGCACTCAGTCCACCTCCCTCACCACCCAACCGAGAACCTTTCTCTTCAGACTGCTTTTCTAGGCAGATGGCAGGATGGGTGCCAGTTCAGCACAACTCTTTCATCTAAAGAACCAATGGGAGCTTATAATGTGATCCTTAGGACTGAGCTACCAACATGACCTTACTTATGTTGACTACATTCTATGTTACTTCAAGCAGAATGCATATGGATACATTTCAACACAGCAGATGACGTCAAAAGAGGCCAACTCCCAGCAGAGCACTAAGTCTATTCAAGGATTCCCCTCCATGTCCAAGTACATGGTAACACAGGCCAATGCACGTCAAGATCAAGGCTCCATGCCAAACCATTTCCAGTTCACCAATTTCACTTACCAATTTGTACAAGGATCACCAAGGGGTTAGACCTGACAGCTACTTGACACATTCTAAACCTCTGAATCCCAAAGGTCTTAGGTCATGAATGTGTAGGTAACCCAGATGACTGAGTAGTGCATGCTCTTCCCTTGGAAAGGACAATATTCAGGTATCAGAGAACTCTGCTGTCAGAAGAAATCTTAGAGGTCATCTCTCCATCCAGTCACTGAACCCTGAGAAGTCAAGTTTCATACACCTTTGGAATAATAAATAAATTAGCCCAAGGTCAAAATGGGACTTACTAGACCCCAGCATTTGGAGATAGTCTTATTTTCTTTGTAGGACAAACATCAGCAGACAATTTGGTCTGCACAATCTGGACCCAGCCTAGGACCTGACTAGCAAACTGAGAAATTAGCCTTTATACACATTTCTTCAAATGTTTCTTCTGAAAACTGCTTACCACATCCAGGCTGAGAGAAGGCCACCGTAGTCTGGGAATCAGATTCCAAGTTTAGGCCTTGACTTTGGCAGCTGGCTCTACCTCTGTAACTACACCTTTCACCCCGAGTTCCCTTCCAGCCTCTTCAAATCAGACTCTCCCCCCTTAGGCACTGCTAAATTTTCCACTTAAAAGATCAAATCAAATCAATGTTAAGTTTAAGCCCTAATACCCTAGTATTCTTAAGACTCTACCTATTAAACAGGGTTGCCTAATTTCTGTGAGTGATATAACAATTTGTTTTATATATGGTCAGAACATTTCTCATTGACTTAACAAATAGCTGTAAAAATAGGCTTACGTCAGGCTACTTATTAGAAAAAATTGATAAGTTCCAGACCAAAAAAATTACTGTTTAGTAAGCTCAAAACAAAATCTACCATTCAATAATTTGAAAGCAACACATTAATATAGTTTAGTCACATTTTACCAAATGCAAACTTGTTTCAAATTCTACAATGATATTAATAAACCATCTAATTACCAAAGTGTCAAGATCAGATGGTTTTATTTTTACATAAGCCACAATATTTTGTGCCAGATGAATGTCTAAGCCACTCTCTCCACAAAGATAAAATCAAACAGCTGAATTTTTCCTTCATTATTTTGACAACTTTACTCCCACACACCTAAACTCATTTTACATTTTTCCTGCCACTTATTCTACCCATTTTTATAGTGGCTGGATCTTCTTTGATATTCCAAGATCATGTCAATCTGAAAAGCAAATCATTCCTTAAAATCACAACTTTAGAAACATGTTCATTCTTTTCCAAGTTCTATTTTCAAGTTGTTTGAAAACAATAGCATGATGTTTTTTCCAAAAGGTACTTGGAAAGGAAATGTGCCTTTTTTTCCCCCTGAGGCTGTATAAATGGTTTCCGAATCCCCCCATGCTGCTCTCCCTGTGGAGGGCTTCCACTGTCACATCCTCTGGCCTTCAGTATAACACAGGGGATCTCACAGTGCTGAAGTACCTTCCTTCTACACAAGAGTTGGTAACGCTGTATGCACCGTAACTGCAGTGTATGCAATGCTACCTTCCCTTCATTTGCTAACTGCAGAACTGTTCAGGTTTCACATGTTTTCCAGATAAATGAAATGACAAAGTTAGACCATATTTTGTTATTTTAAATATGTCAGAGTAAAATGCTTTTATAATATATTGCTATGCAGGGATAAGCAAAAAACAACTCAAAACAGCAATGAAATGCCACTTCTAGGGACCTCAATTTTTTGTCAATGTTAACTAACTCTTAGGCAAGAATCTTGCTCCATATGGTGAGAAAATTCATACTTTCCTGATAATAATAATGACACAAAAATAATGACAAACTTTGATTCAGGAATTTCAGGCTTAGCAATTGGTTCTAAAGAAATTATTTAATAGGGAAAAAAAGAACTAGACATTTTAAAAGTTCCTATATGTATTAGTAAGGAGTAAAAATTAGGAGAAAAAGGTTAAATAATGAAATGGGTTAATAATATAGAAATTCATTAGCAAATATAAGATACTATATTATCCACTAATAATTTCTATTATAATAATTCATAATGCCTATACCTTAGTTATTAAAATAGGAAGACCTAGAGGCACAGGAAAATGTTTATGAAGTGTTTGGCTTTTCTTAAAAAGAGCATATTATAATAAAATTATACAACTAAATTGTGTATCCACACCGTGTCTGCTCCGAAGGCCATGGGGATGCTGATCAAGAGCAGGAGGTAAAGAAAGGGAACGTGGTGAGACAGACAGTGGCTCTGGCTCTCATGAAGAGGCAGAAGATGGGAGAACAGCAGGGTCCTCCTGACCTCCCCAGCAGGCCAACGATCACACACTTCACAATGAGCCCAGGAGCACTCCGTGACTCCGTTCTGTCTGCTGTTCAAGTGTGGCCATTTGATTCTAGATGTAAAAAAGGTCCACTCTCTGAGTGTCTGTCTATGTCAGCAATGAGGCTGAGGAGTACAGCTGGGGTCAGTCTCAAGCTCCTGTGTAGCCAGAGGCTCGAGAATCAGAGGCGATTTCAAGTACACTGGAGCCATTTTCCTTCTTTAATGAGCTTCAGCAGGGCCGCTGAGGACTCTCGCTCTGTATGTCTGTGCTGGCCTTCAACGTCAACTCGTACCCTGGGCAGGCTTCAGAGTCTGGAGCACATTCTGCCAACAGTGAGTCCACCGGGAGTTCAGCCCTTTCCATGGGGGACAGGGCAGAGGGGTGAGGGAGCCCTGACCCCAACCGAGAGACATGGACCTGGACACAGCTAGCGGTACGTGGGTAGGCTGCGGTTTGACAGGTTCATTCCCAAAGGAGCGAGAGCAGAGGGAGGGCCAGCAAGGCTGGGCAATGAGGTCAGATGCAAAAACGCAGGGAAAGAGAAGACTACCAAAAGGCA